GAGGGGATGGAAGTTGGAGCAGCTGAGTGACTTAGGCACTTTGGCAAATGTTTGCCTCTGTCACTTGAATGCAATTAAAATTCTTCAGCTCGTGGGCTGTGACAACAGCAGTGATATTGACTCTCACTACTGGTTTTTGTCTCCAGGACATGTGATTCCTCCAGAAAATATTTTACCCATCATCCTCTGCAGTGGTCCTTCCAACCAGCAGCTGGAGTTCACTTACCAGACCAGAGACCTGCCTCAGATGGTCAGCCTGTCCTTTGTTCCCTTTCTTGGATCTTTTTTGCTTCACATGCTTGTATTTCAGAGCAGGGAACACTCTGCTTAAGAGCTGGGCTGAGCAAAAGCCATGGCAAGGGAAATCCCAAACCACAGGAACAGCTGCAGGTGTTTTGGCCCTTCTTCCTGTGGCAGGCCAGTAAACACCCAAGGCCAGACACTAGGTCTGCTCTGCCCCTGCTGAATCTCAGCCAATGTGCTAACCAGCTCTCAGTATCTGTTTTAATGGGACAGCTTCCATCCACTGAGGAAAACCTCCTTTCCTGAATGACCATGGCTCCACAGCCATAACAGAAACCCTGGGCTAGGGAAGAAGGCCAAGCAGTGAAGAGTTTTTTAGTGATGCCCAGCTCCCCATGGGAGTTCTCACAGACTTGGCATATTTCCCACACTTTTTCCTCCCCTTAGGCATGTCATAAGGAAGGTGTGATCCTGGGATTGAACAGACAATTAGAGTGGCATTAGCTGGGGCTCCTGTCAGCTGCAATATGCTCTCATCTCTCTTCCAGATGGATGAGACAGGTCGAATCCTTTGCAACCTGTGCAATGTGATCCCAGGAGGTGTGGTGTGCTTCTTCCCCTCCTATGAATATGAGAAGCAGGTGTATGGACACTGGGAGAAGACAGGGCTGCTCTCCCGCCTGTCAGCCAAGAAGAAGGTGATTGTGATTGTGATTGTGATTGTGATTGTGATTGTGATTGTGCAGCCAGGGAAGTTGGTACTTTCCATGGAGGTGTCAAAAAGCAGACAATTCCATATATATTCCTCTCCAAGTTGTTCCCATAGTCTGCACAGCAGAGCAGAATGAATGTTTATCCAGCTAATCCCTCCAGTAACAAACAAACGATACTGCCCGGGTGGCTGAGCACCGAGCTGTGATCTAAATGAGACTGATTGCAGCTATACATTCTTCAAGTGCACAGTCTGTGTAGTGGCCATGGGGGCAGCCAGTCTTTGCTTTCTATAGCCAGCAGGTTTGTTCTCTAGGGTGGCTGTTCAGGTTGAGCTCCTACTGGGAATTTGCTTTTCCCAGGCTCATCTGTGTCCCTTGGGCACAGACCAGCACAGCCAAGGGCTAGGTAGAGTGATACAATACTGCAGTTCATAAGACAAATGGCATTTTGCTATCTGCTAGAAGTAGAGAAGAGAACTGGAAGACTAGCAGCAGTGACTCCTGCTGAAGGAGCAGTGAGAAACATTAAATAGGGAGTTCACTGCAAATATAAAATCTTTGCAATGATTCTCACAGGTATTTGAAAGCTGGGTATTAAAAGTCAGGCAGTGCAGGCTGCACTGCAGGGATCTTGGATCATGTGCTAGGGGAAAGAAGAATATAACCTGGCTGTGACTTCTGTTTACCAAAAGCTAATCAACTTACCACAGTCGCAGACACTTCACAGCCTTGGTGATTCTTGGCATTCTGGCACATGGGGCAGCCTGTAGATTTTTGGGTGGAAGCATTGTGCTTCATTTTCTCTGTGTTTGTAGAGTTACTATTCCGAGTGCCTTTCAGGTGTGTCTTGTCAGGGTCCCAGTGCTCTGCCTGGTTCCTCCAAGGCTTTGGATCACACACAGTGTGTTCCAAATTTCAATTCCAGTTTGTTCTTGTTTAGCCTTTGCAGTGTCCAGCAGATTGGATATGTGTTAGCAAGGCAATTGGGTATAAGTGCAGCAAGTGTGACTTTCAACTGCCCACATACAAGATCTTAGGGAAGGTTCAAGGCTTTCCTGAGGTTGCTGTGGTGAGATCACACTGAGGTTATATACAAATTACACAGAGAAAGTTAATTTAAATCAGAGGCTTAAATAGCTACTTTTCAATAAGTTAAGTTTTGGCTTATATTTGTAATTGCCACTTACTTTTCTACTGAAAGACTGATTTTGACTGGTAAAATTTGATATTACTTCTTGCTAACCAAAGGAAAACACATTCTGTTCTTTAATGTTACAGAGAAGATAAATGTTGGATGTCTTGTTTACTAGGAAGACTACTTGTGTTTTAGGCCAAGGAAGACCACTTATAAAAATACAACTTAATTAATTGCAGAAGTTTTCAGTAACTAATTAGGTGTTCTAGAATAACATAAAGAAATACTACTTTATTTATGCTTTGCATGAAAAGCTTATTTATTCACTGGGCAAGGGGAGCCATGCTTGGAATAAATTGATGATTCAAATTGATTTGTCCTGTCCTTGTCCTCCAAGATCTTGCAGCTGTAGAGTCTCCTGACCCCAGAGAGTCTTGATTCATAGGTGCAAGAGGTGCACATTGCTTTTCTGCCTCTCAGCTCTTGGATGACTTGTAACTTCTGCAGTATTGAACAAGTCTGCCAAAACTGAAAGGGAATGTTGGAGGGGCAGGAGCAGCTGCAGATCCCTTCAGAGCCCAGCTGAAAAGAGCTGTAGTGCATTTTCAGGGTGGAGGGAAGGTACTGGTTAAATTAGTTTTTCAGGCAATTTTCCTTTCCGTGACCTCAGTTCTATATGCTGTTTAATGGCATGGGGATAAAATGATTTTCTTTCGTTAAACTGTTTGCTTCCTGTTACTGTAACTGATGAACTGTGCCTGACAGATCTTTCAGGAGCCTAAGAAAGCCAGCCAGGTGGAGCAGGTGCTGGTGGAATATGCCAAGTGCATAAAGGTAAGCACCAGGCAGGCTGGTGGGAGTGTGGTAGCCCAGCAGGTATGGGAATGCTGCAAAGGAGGGCACTTTAAACAAGGAAAGAGGGCTCTAGCCTAGGTGTGGGAGTGTTTCTGAAGCACAGAAATCTTCCCTGCTCTGGTTTAAGTTGCTGGTCCCTCTCCTGCAGCGCTGCAGCCAGCCAGGAGGACAGATGACAGGGGCCCTGCTGCTTTCTGTAGTTGGAGGCAAAATGAGTGAAGGGATAAATTTCTCCGATGACCTGGGAAGGTAAGGTGACTGCTCCCTGGAAAGCCAGCTCTGGCTGTGACTCCAAGCATGATGGGCATATCAGTACTTGCATAGACTGAAAATCCTGGGGAATGTGTGACTTAGCTGATGCTTAGAGCAACAGGAGGGTCTGCTGGGTGGTGTAAAACCTGCCTGCCCAGGCCCCTCTTCCAGTGAATAATGCAGTTAGGCTTGCTGTGCTAGATAATCTCTTTGTTTTGGCACCCTGAATCCCTCTGCAGCTCTGTTCAGCACGTGCTTGTCAGACTGCTGTGCTTTATTGCTGCTTTTGGTTTGCAGGGCTGGCTGTCTTTCAGGGGTGCAGTGACCTCTAATTATCTGTCTATTGGCAAAGTGCTCTAGGATGAGACATTAAGAATAATGCAGTCCTCCCTTGCAGGTGTGTGATTATGGTGGGAATGCCTTACCCCAACATTAGATCTCCAGAACTCCAGGAAAAAATGACTTGGCTTGATAAAACAATGGTAAGAGTCACTTACACCTCTTATCTCTTTCAATTCTGCCTTACAGTACTAACTTCCCAGCACATGAATCCCAGAGCTGCCTTTAGAGGTTTTATTTTCTTTGAGCTTGCCCTCATTTCCCAGCCTTCTCCAGGCTGCTGCTGAACAGCTCTAAACACAGGGAGGAAGTTGGATGGAGGGAAATGCCACCAGGCCTGGCTGGTAACTCTTGAGTTCCAAGGGCAGCAAGGACCCTTCAACCCAGCAGGTGGTAGAAGCTGCTTGCTAGGATCATTTGTCTCTTCTCATTGCTCACTGGAGTTGCTGTTCCTGGGGACAAAATTTCTGCCTTCAAGGGGATCTTGGGTTGGCTCTGTGCATAGTCAACATAATTTTCTGACTGCAGCCTTTCTTCTGTTCCTTCTTACTCTCGGCTTGGGGTCTGCCTGGCCACCCGCTCACCCTGCAGGGGTAAAAGTATTTACCTCACTTTGTCATTAAGACTTCCCAATTTGATTTACATCTGCCTTGTGTTCAGACTTGCTTATTTCCTCTTTCCAGCCCAGAGCTGCTGGCCAGGCACCGAGCAGAGTGCTGATTGAAAACCTGTGCATGAAGGCAGTAAACCAGTCGATAGGTAATTCATCCTTCCTTGGACAGGCTGGGGGATAAGAAATACACTGAAGGAGGAGGGTAGGAAAAAGGATGCATTACAGATGATGGGAACATTATCTTCCTTGTCTGAGAACAAAAAATTGACTGGGCCATTCTTTGTTTTTATCCTTTGTGCAGGCAGAGCCATTCGGCATCAGAAGGACTTTGCCAGCATCCTGCTCCTGGATCACAGGTACGCACGCCCTGCCATCTTTAACAAACTGCCCCAGTGGATCAGGGAGAGGACCCAGGTGAAACCTGCCTTTGGATCAGCGTTTGCTGAGTTAAGAAAGGTCAGAACTCATCATATCTTACGTACTGCTACCAACACTGTTCCCCACTGTCCTCATCTGGACCTTTCTCAAGCCTTCCCTTTAGAGTAAGGCCAAGGACAAACTGCCTGGTTTTGTGTGTTCCCAGTTCCATCGAGGCAAGTTGGATTCTTTGTGATGTGGAGCAGAGAACAGATGGTATTTGTCATTGTGACTTACACCTCTGAAGACTAGGTAAAGTTGCTGTTTTTCTGTACCTTAGACTTCATAAAATCTCTGCCTTCTGCCTCCTTTGTGGATGTTTTCTGTTCAGTATCTGAATGCTATGATGGTGAGACAGCCTTCAGCACCACAGCCAGGAGGGAAACTGGTTGTAGGTCTGAGGCAAATGAAGACAGTAACAGCAGGCACCTACTTGTTTACAGCTGTTAAGGTTTTATTTAAATTGATTAAATATTTTCAGTAAAAACACTGAAGTATGGCAAGTATTATTTAAGTACACTTAAGTATGGGGAGTAATTATTTTGACTGAACACATGTTTTTTTCCCATCAACCACCAAGTGTAGGAGGCCTGACTGACCAATGCCATCACTGAGCTTTTCACAGGAATTGTAAACTAGCAGGCCACTAATTTATGTCATACTGGAATAATACAGAGTGATAATGGAGCAGCTGTGGGTAACACTTCTTCTGACCCTCTTTCTGCCTTGCTTCAAGCAGTCATTAAATTGCAGCAGCTCATTCTTTCAAGGGGAATAAAGATACGTCCACAATACAGCACCACTCCTTTGATCATGCTTAAGCACAGGATTGCTCTGCTGTTTTTAACCCCTAAGTTTATGAATTCACAGTAACTTTTAAAATTTAACTTTTCCTGGGTTATGGGTCAGTGCTGGAGGGCAGCAATAGCACCAGGAACAGCCACATAATCTCTCAGCTGTTCCAGGTACCTCCTGTCATCCTGAGCAAGTCTCATCCCAGGAGCTTTGCTTCTTTTCCAGTTCCAGCAGTTGGATGCTACCTCTCTGGGCTCTTCACAAGGAAGAAAGTACTTATGGCACAGAGCTGTTACCTGCTCCCTGTATGTTAATTAGCCCCACAGGGAAAGAAACAGCTGCCTCTGAGAAACCTCCATTGTGAGTAACCTGGCCCTTGAGTAGGTCCAAACCCATTGTCTGCACAAGCTCTGCCTTCAGAGAGGGGAGCACCTGCTTCTAGCAGCTGGTGCCCTCCAGCCTGTGGCTAGTGATGCTGGGCTGGATGGCTGAACAGCTGGGCTCTCCCTTTACACATTCTTAATAATCCCACTTTTACCAAAGTGAAGGCAGTAAAGACCTTTCCTTCAACTTCATGGAAATTTTTCAGACAGCAACAGTTTCACACTAATACTCAATGGATCTTATCTATGACTCCCAGTCATCTTCATCCTCCTCACCTCCAGGCTGCTGTGGGGGTGGGAGGGGTGGTATTGAGTCCGACATACGAGCAAAGGCACCAGCAGGACTGCCAGGAGCATCATTGTTCCCAGAGGCTCCTGGTCCTTTCCCTGAAATACCTGTGAGGGAAGGAAATCGCCAGTGAGTAACACCTGGGGAAAAGCCACGCTGTCACCACCCAGGTAACCTGAACAGCCAACATGTTTAATGCTGCCACAGACTTGTGCCAAGGTCTCGTTTAACTACAGCTCCCCCTGAGCAAGTCCCTGCTGTTACTTTTGATCTAAATGCCCCAGGGCATCTCAAATCCCCATATGGGCAGTGGGCCCAGCTGCCCAAGCACTGGATTAAAAAAAGACACTGCTGTCCCTTCTTCACAGGTAGCTTTCAGGGTCCACCCTCTAATACACACAAACCCCTCCAGGGTCCAGAACTGGACTTGAGGTAGAGATTCCTCTGCTCATTCTCTGTAAAGACACTCCCAGCTGTACTGCAGTACACACTGCCCAGGAAAATCTCTGTTCCTATTTCCAAGGCTGTGGCTGACACAACTCGGGTGCCAGGGAGTGCCCTCCCTCTTTCCTAGGTGAAAAGGGCAGCCCACGTCATAGGACAGTACCTTTGCGCCTCAGCACCAGCTTGTTGAAGAGGTCTGACATCAAATCTCCACCTTGTCCCGTAACTCTCACTGTAACAGAGCAGAACAAGTCAGTGAAGAAAGAGCTAAGCACTACGGTAAAAACATTTCCCTGCAATTTTGCCTTCAGATTAAAGAAAAAACTCCAAACCTCTAATATTGTATGACACCCCAAAACTACAGTCCATGTTCAGGTCAGGAAAACACTATGCACAGCAGGGTTAATTGCATTTTCTGGGGGAAAACCATGAGTGCTGTTCATCGAGGGGCTGTGCATTCTGCCAAAGCAGCTCCATCAATCCCCAAAGTGCTTAAACTGGTTCAGCCCTGTCCCATTTGGCCCCCAGGGTTTCATTTGTGTGCCCAGTCCTGTGCATCACATGTAAAACTTCTCCACAAGTCCTGAGACAGATGCCCTTTGGGCCAGTGGGGTTTAGCAAGTTCACAGAGCTCTGGCTGAGTGCTGAACACCTGAGACCTACATCAGTGAGGAGAGACAACTCCCTTCTGCTCTGTGAGTTCAGTGTGCTCCTGACTTGCCTGCCTGCCTCTAGACCCACACCTCCCCAGGCTGGGCAAGGAAAAGCAGTTCTGCCAAAAGAGCCTCAGTACCTTGTTCTTGTTCCTTCTGCTTCTTTTTCTCCAGCTTTCTCTCCTTGACACTACGAAGGTTGGCCTTCCCAATGCCCCCGGCCTGGCGGATGGACTCCAGGAGACTGGCACGCCCAGTAGAGGGGTTCACCACCTCCTTTGGGGCTCCCTGGACTGAAGCTGCAGGGACAGGAAGGACAGGCAGCAGACCTGGGTCAGTGCATCAGCTACAGGCCCAGCCAAATTCCCATGGAAAGGGCTACTCCAGTACCTTGACAGCATCTCTTCCCACTGTAGCTCCCCTCCTCTATTGGGAGGCTGGGAAGGCACAGGGGGGCCCCAAGGACACAGGCTGAAGGCAAGGAGGCTGGTGCAGCTGTGGAGGAGGCCAGCCCTTACCTGCAGGCACTGTGTTGCTGCTCTCCTCGCTCACTGTCCGAGCTGGTTCCGAGGGTGCTGTGGGCTGGGGCAGAGGTGGTGGAGGAGGCACCGGGGTTGGCATAACAGGAGGTGGTGGAGGAGGTGGAGGGGGAGGAGGTGGCAATAGCTCAGCACCTTGAAGATCTGAAATAAGAAAGTTTTATCTGAGGAGTCCCAAAGGATGGCACATCGAAGAGTTTCAGCTCAGAGCTTCACACACCTCAGCAGCAACAGATCAGAGTCCTCAGCACCTGCAGCAGAGCACTCCTGCCCTGTGCACCATCTCTGAAACAGCAGGCAGGGCCAAGGCAAGAGTCTGAGATTCCCCTACTCTCCCTCCCCAGCTTCATCCCACTCACACAAGGGCATCTCACCAGGCTGACACACACTCAGTCCTTGCAGACTGTGCTCCCTCCTCCCTAGCCATGCAGAGAGAGGAGGAGGGAGGTAAAGGGGCTGCAGTCAAGCCAGAACTTGAGCAGGTTGCAGCTTTCACTCAGACTCAGGCCAGACTCCATCATCCATTCAACATCCATCTTAAAAATTCTACCAAGGGACTTTCTCCCTTGTCTCCACTTTCTAGCAACCCCTGCGTTCCTCCATCACAGGGTCCTGGGATCAGGGATTGAAAATACCTGGTTGCAAAGGCTCCACTGACTCGGTGTTGAAAGTGGGCAGCTCTGGAATAGCACTGCTGGGGGCAGAGGGTGCAATGCCAGGGCCCAGGTCAGCGCTGTACATGAGATCTGCAGCAATGCCAGGCAGGTCTGGCAGGTAGGAGGGCACATCAATCTCAGGGACCTGGCCCAGATCTGGCACGTAGAAGTAATTTTCAGCAACCTAAAGAAACCCAAACCAACAAAGTAAGGCAATGACTATGTGCTTGCAGGGGCACTGCAGAGAACAATCTGTCAGCAATCAGAGCTGGGCTGGTGTACCATCAGCTACCCCTACACCTCTGTGCTCAGATGCAACTTCCTGCAGACCAGACTTGGGAAAGGTAGACTGCAAGAGGAGGACGTGTAGGACTCTTGTTAGTTTCATAAGTAGCAAGTGAACTCTGAAGGGTTTATGCACTAACTGCTGCAGCCTAAATAAACCAATCCCTTCTCATCCAGAAGAGGATGGTTGTAGGAGTGAGCTGGGCTTTGCACCACTAATTAGTGGTTTGTCATCAGTCTCGTCTGTTTCTGTTCGGAGCCAGGATTAAGAGAAAGGCGACTGAGATGGATTCTTGTGTTTGGACTTGGATGTTTATTATATCTTATCAGAGAATTACAGAAAGCACCTCTAGCTCCTTGCTAGAAGTAGGAAAAATGGCCCCAAGCTGAGCTTGTTTCAAGGCCTTTTAAAGCGAAACAGACCAATAAACGTTTAACACCTATATTATTTATACTTTTGACCCAATAATAGATTCCCATGACCCTTAGAGTGATTTTAGACTGACTAACTAGAGGTTACTACCTAAGTTCCATGAAGAAGGAAGAAGAAGAAGATTTACAAAGAAAAGATACCACCCAAAATTCTCCATCTTGTCCCATAGCTACCACTATGCTATAAAAACCTCAAATTTAAAACTCATCACCCAGTGAAAATAAACACATCTAACCCACTACACATTTGTGATTTCTAACTCATTATTTATATTTACAAATCTTCTCCAAGGTTTCAGGTCCAGTGCAGTGTTTTTCAGAGGGTCTGTGTCTGGAAGCACAGAAAGCTCAAACTCCAGATTTCTAGGATCCAACAGATAGTGTCTGAACCATTTCAAAGATTAAAATGCAGAAGCATAACCCAGTAGTTACGGGGGTTTGCTTTTGTGTTTAACACACAGGCAACACAGCAGTGATGGTGCACTGTGAATACAGTTTGTTCACTATACACATTATATCCTCCAGTCCAACACGATAAGCAAATGATTCCCAGGCTCCTTTTCCCAATCTCAAATGACACCCCAGCAGAGCTGGTACCCTAGGTATGGCCTCTATGAAGTGTCAGGTACCAGTCACATGTTGAGGCAACTGGGTTGGTGCACTGCCTGCCCCATGTGTACACCAAGCACAGCCCTTTTCTCAGTCTGGCTGGCCCTTCTGTTTGCACCAGCAGGAATGATGGGGATCACACTTCACCCCAGGGACCTTCTAGCAGTGGCACCTCAGACTCAGCAGGAGGCTCAGGAGTTGGCACAACTGAGCTGGTGAAGTGATAGATCCTCCAAAACCCCCTACAGCCCTGAGATCAAGCAGCAAAGTGAGTCCATATCCTATTACTCTCCTTTCACCACTCAACAAAGACTTGAGCAGAGAGAAACCTGCCAAGTGTGAGGCTTTTGTCCCACCCTCAAGCACAAAACCAGGCAAGGTCCTTCTGATAAATGAGGTACTCTGCAGCCCTGTAAGGGGCTATTGTCCTACTGCTCACCACTCTATCGAAGCCCTTTCTTTTCAGAGACCTGAGCACAACCCTCTGAAGTGTAAGCAGTTGCAACCTCACCTGTCGGTCCAGCTGTCCCCTTTTGGTGATGGAGAGGGGTGCATCAAAGAGCTTCTCTTCTGTCTCTGTTTCCAGAGCCACATGGGTCTTGGTCACTGCTCCAGCCAGAGGATCCAGGAACACATACTTCTTGTACCTAAGGGCAGAGAACAAGTATTTTAGTGATGCTGCCTTGACAGCCAAGGCCAGAAGAAACAGTGTACATAAGAGGGCCTTGGAGGCAGAGACCTGATTTCACTCATAAAGATGGAACACAGTGAGCCTTCCAGGTTCCTTCTTTTAGCTCAATTTTCCTGCCTTTCCCCTCCACAACCAGGAGGCAAGCAGCTCCCCACCCTGCCAGTGCAGCTTCCAGACTAATTTTAAAGCAAAGCTCCACTACAGTAGTGCCACCATGACCAAGCTCTCCCCTTTCCACCACCTGGCCTGAAACCATCCTAGAATCTGCAGCAGGACACCAGATACTTGTCACTCAAGGTCCAGGAGGACAGACAAAAAGGAGAAATGATCCAGGAGAAGAAAGAGCAGGTCCAACAGCTGAAAGCTCGAGAAGAGCTTAAAGCAGCTCTTCAATAAGAGCAGAAAGAAGAACCATGATGGGAAGGAAGCCCAGTGGGAAAGGAAAGGAAACTGCAGTGAGGGAGGTGGTAGAGAATTAAAGCAGCAAAAGCAGTAAAGTACTGCTGTGAGGAATTGTCAGGAGAAGAAGCAATACCTAGGCTGGCACACAGGGAAGAGCAGGGCAGGAGTGACAGCGTATCTCAAGGCTGGAAAGAAATTAGAGGAACAATAGGAAGAACTAAGCAAAAGAAAGTGCAAAACTGGGTTGGATCAGGTGAGTAGAGGATCAGGTGAGGACCAAATAACTGCTTCTACCCAAGGCAAAGAGCGAGGAAGGCAAGGTTCCCAGCTGGAAGCCAGCAGAGAGGTACCAAACCCTGTCCTATCAAGAGCCTGATAGGTAACATCCCCAGGAAAGCAAGCAGTCACTGCTACCCCTGGGGATGGGAAAGCTCCTCTGAGGACAAACAGGGGCAGGTGAGCAGCACAGCACTGCTCCAGCTCTCACAGGTTCTCGGTGGTATTGAAGAGTAGCAGGGAGCTGAGGGAGCTGATGTTCCTGGGAAGGCTGCCAAGGCCTTCTTCTGCATCATCCTCCTGGTGAATTTTGGTGCTCACACACACAGGGAAATACTTGAGCTTTTCCTGCAAGAAGACAGATAAAAGGTGGTAAGACACTAGAACCACAGCTGCTGAGGCAGCTCTCCCCAGCCACCACAACCCACGCTGCTGGATGCACTGTATGGTCTGGGAACCCTACTGCTCCCTCTCTACATTCCTTTGAGCTAGGAAGCACATGGACAACATTGCAACCCCACACTCATGACAAGTGTTGGCAGTTCAGACTTGTAGCAAGTGCTTTTGGTGCTGTGGATGGGTCATACTGAACATGTTACTGTGGCAAGGACCCACCAGAATAAAATCACCACTCTGGCTCTATAGTCAGATACAGTGCAAGACAGGTGCAGGGATAAAGCCCCACAGCCTAAAAGGCTTTTGTTACAGTGTCTCCAATTACAACACATTTTCATGCAGGCAGAGTTCCCCACACATCTCTATCACCTCACCTCTTCTCTGTTGCCTTCACTTGATGTTTTAAGAGCTGTGATCACACTGGTGGGGTATGAAAAAGGGGTTAGGAAAGAACAGACTGCCTGCACTAGGCAAGAGATCAGGCAGAAAGGAGTGTGCAGGGTGGAACGTGTGCCAGATGGTTTCACAAAGCCTGAGGGATTTGCATGAGTTTTCAACTCTAATGAACTGAAATCTTCTCTCTCTCAGTTCTAAAACTTCATGCATAATATATAGAGCTTCCTTTCGAAAGGGACTTATTACATCTGAACTGCCTGACTTTTCTAGAGCAAAGGAATTGCCATCCCACATCAGACCAGAGTTTCAGCTGGCATGACAGTGCTTGCTGCCAAATGCTCTGGGGGATGAAGCTCAGTGCCCACAGCACTCTGCTCTAGAGGGAGGAAAGGCTTCAGTTCCTGAACTGATGAGAGACAGTTTGGGATGAACAAACCTTCACCTCAGACCCCTCTGTAGACCCCTCCTCAGGCCCTTCATAACTCTTCACAGTTCTTTCTTCACAACTAAGGCAAGCAGCAGCTACAAGGCAGTAAGTGTTCATACCAGGAGAAGCCAGAGCACTCTGTCAGGTTCAATAACTGACCACACTTGTGATTTTCTTCTGCCACCAGAGGATGGCCACTCCAAACACTGTCCACAGCTTCCTACTGCCTCACTACTTCCAGCATCCCTGCACCACCCCATTCTCTGAGTCCCACTCCCCTCCTTGTACTTGTATGGGAGAAATAGAGACCATTGGTGGTTCAGTTTTAAGACCACATGTCAGTGACACAAGCAGTTCCTGCTGATTAAAATTTCAGTCTTGAATCTGGTAGCCAGAAATCCAAGGAAATGGCTTAGTCACAGTTCAGTTAATCCACTAAGAGTTTAGACGATGCTCTGAGACTGTAAAATGCTATAAGAAAGGACCTGTAAGGTTTTGATTTAATTCAGGTTCCAGCTTGTGAAAAATACAATGAAATTAACACCTTCTATTTTTTATAGAAGCAAATAGGCAAAAATATATAAATTCTTATTTAAAGCAGAGACTCAAAAATAAAAGTTCTTTCGATCATTAATATTCATTTCCCAATGTTTAATTTTTTAAGCATGAGGAACTACTGACTTTTTTTGCAGGAACTGTTCAGACACACTTAGCCCTCAAGTAATTTATATGGTTTTTTTAATTCTCTTTTTGTAGATTTCAGTTATCACTGGAAGATTGTGCATCACTTTAAAGGTGTAGTGAGAAAGCAATCATTACCTAAATTTACTTACAAACCTCATCTAAGGCAGTTATAAAATCACTAAGCATGAGTATTCTGAAATGTGAAATATAATCCTTTTAATTTAAATGCCATCAAAGTGCTAGTCTTACTCTAGTACCTAGATCTGTTCTGAAATTTGGAACAACCACACACTGTCAAAAATATCCTTCAACTGTGAATTCCACAAGTTAAGGTGCCATTTAAAAATTAGTTTTCTTATAGGAACATTAAGTTCTTAAGCCAAAGTTTGGCAACCTTGACATACTGAAGTCATGGGGGGGTGCATGAATGCTCAAACACCTCAGCTTGGGGTCTGGTACCTGGAAGGATCACACCCCCAAGGACACTGCATTTTCAGGCATTTTTCTTCCTAAGAACCTACAGTTAAAAATATATAAAGTCACTGTGGTTCTTCAGTTTAATTAAACACCCACTATTACAAAGGGAATTGGTGTGGTATACCAGAAATTCCACTTCTCCCCCACCAACGGACTGCTGAGGCCAGCTGGGAAAGCACTTCAAGATGAGCAAGTGACAAAAACCTGGTTTAGCCTCCCCATGCCTGTGGTGGGCTCCGGGAAAGGCAGAATTCACTAGGACATGCCAAGTTACTGACACTTTGGAACCCTAGCAAGGTTACTCCAGCAGTGGATGGTAACTTTTCCTTGGACTTCTTCCAAAGCCCAGAAGACCGTATCTCCCCCCGTTTTCCAGTCTCCTGAGTGTGCAGCACCCAGACACAGCTCCCACCACAAAGGCAGTGCCCAGCTCCCTGCTGAGCCCTGCCTTGCCCCCACCACTGCAGTGTGCAAAGCAACTGGCTTTCCAGGCTTACCACAACCACTGTGTTTCTGGCACTCTTACTCACCTTAAGGTGCTTACTTTACCAACCTAACCAGCATCCTCTAAGCAGCTTGTTTTCACTTGCTAACAGCAAGTTTCCACTTGGTTGGGGTGGAGGGGGCAAGGAGAAATTCCAAGGGGGAAGCATTTAAAATCAGCTGCAGAACCACACATATTTCCAACTCAGTTGCTTACTCCCCAGAGCAAAAACCCTAAACTAAAGGCTGAGCACAGGCTGCTACCACTTCCCCTCAAACTGACATGAGCCGAGTTTGCTTTCCTGATGAGGTGTTGTGTGCACGTGGAGTTTAGCAAAGGCCACTGCGACTGCTCACAGCAAAGAGGCTCTCATTAGAAGAGAAAACAGGCAGTGAGCCTCTGCTGAAAGCCCTGAATAATTGAGAAAAGCATAAATGCAAATATTAGACTTCTCCCTGTCACATTTCATCACTGCAAGGCACGTCAGGCTCTGTGCTCAGCTATGGCCGAGAAGGGCCTGTCCCCCTGGAATGTGGCTGGAGCTTGGCCACACTGAGCCTCACTCAGCACATCAGCCCCTCCATCCTTCACCAGGTGACAGCAGCATCCCCCAGCCCACAGAGGAGCTGCAGGAGTGACAGCTGCTGCATGAGGCACACTCAGCAAAGTCAGAGAAAGATCAACAGTCTCAAAAGATGGATTGCAGAAGGGAAGCAACAAACATCCCCCAGGGCCTGAAACCAAGTCCCTGTGGTGATGGCAGCTTTAGTCTCAAAGGGCAGAACATGGCAATGGTAGAGGGATTGACTGGGGCTGGAAGAGGTGGCATCCCAGACAGCTGGCTGTGTGGAATGGCACGTGGAGCCTGCTGGAGCCAGCAGGCCAGCTGAACAGGCACACAATTTCTCCTTGTGGGACACTGCTTTTTAATAGCCAGTTTCTTCTCAATCCCTTCCCTGTGCAAGGGGCTGTACTTTGGCAGCAGCCCTTCAGGGTGGGAGCCCATCTCCCTGTCCACTCCCTGCCTGCCTCTATTTTCCCCACACTCCAGTGGGATGGGGACACCAGCCAGACAGCAGCACTCACTGGCCTCCCTGCCAGGCACCAGCATGTCCCATGCACTTCTGCCTGTGCTACTGCCAGGACTGGAAGGAAGCAGGAGCCCTGCTCAAGTTTGCCAGCTCTCCATTGGGCCAGCAATCCTGCTTCCTTGGCCTGGCTGAAATATTCATAACTACCTCACTGTGTGAGGGCTCAACTCCATTAACACTCAGGAAAGTTTAGCATGATAAATTATTCAGTGGCAACTTTATTTTTGGCCAAGTCATACAAGGATGAGGAAGGAAGTCTCTTCAGGGGTGGAGAACAGGGAAGTTGTCAAATTGATCCTTCACATGCTAGGAACAGCACATCTGCTACTACTGACACAACATATACACAGCAACTTTTAAACTTGAAGCATGGCAACTCTTCTTCCTCACCTTCTAACCCAGGGAAAATGCCCAACAATTTCCTGGGGCAGAAAAATGCTCTAATGAATGACTCCTTTTCTCCTGACAAACTCATAAGCCTTTTTACCTTTCCCCTCCCACCAGAAGTTATATCAGAGCCTTCAGAAACTATTTCTGAAATAACTACGAGCTTGATCCCAGCTGCCTCACTATGCACAGCCAAAGCCTTAAGCCCAGGCAGAAGCACCTGCAGCATTTTAGGAAATGGAACTGCTCCAGAGACCTGGCAGTTGACAGCCACCCAAACTCTTGCACTGACATGCAAGGAGCTCTCCAATTGGCATCTCCACAAGCTTCCCAGCCTGACCTCACACCCTCCCCACTGACAGGCCAAATGAAAGTATTCTACTCCTAGCCTATATCCCAAAGTCCTGGCCCACTTTAGAGAAGAGATTAACAGACTCCAGGTTCTCTTTGCTTGTCCTTCCCAAGGTCTGCTCTCCTCCTTACCTGCAGAGCTTTTTCATCCAGCATTCGGTGTTTGCTCTGAATCTTGTGTCTCGGCCATTTCTGTTTAGCTGGGTCTTCTGCACCAGCAAAAATGGAACTGTACTCCTGCAGCCGTTCAGGGGCCGGGTACTTGGCACTGGAAAATACCTATGGAGAAACAAGGAGGGACTGAAAAATCCCAACAACTAGGCAATCCTATGATACAGAAACACAAGGAGAGGAGTAAATATGCAATCTGTGCTGCCAGTGGGAATGGACAGACTTGGAGACAACAGGCTCCTAAGGGCTATATGTGGACAGACCCAAACGTGCATGGGCTACCACTTCTGAAACTGGAATTGCCAGAGTTTTTTTCTCTCTCTAAAAGTACTAGGAGCTCACTGGAAAAAGGCTTCCACTGGCAGGAAAGGAGTTGGAAATACTGTATAAAATGGAGCAAGAATGGGGAAAGAAGGATTTTCATCAGTTTTACATGGCTCAATGGGATTAAGATGCACTAAAGGGAGGCTCTCTGACAGCAGCTTTCATTCAAGTGTCTATGAGCCTGAAGTGAGGGTGTTAGGCTTAGCTAAGCACACATCTTTTCTCTTTCTCAGGAAGCAGCTGGGACAGAAACCTATAAAGGCTACATAAAGCCTGAAGCTGTGTGGCTCATGGGTCTAAAATTCATCAATTGGCCAAGTTAGGAATGGGATTCTCACCACAATCCTTCTCAGTAGCAAGGCATGGAGAAGTGAGTGGGCAGCAGCTGCAGCAGCCAAGCACTTTTTCTTCTCCAGAGCTTATGTCAGGAGTAAAGAAAGAAGGAAGAAAAGAGGCCATGCAGCTTTCACTGAAGTCACTACCTTAATTGCCTTCTTGCTGCCCTTTATCTTCTCAATCTTCGCCTGGGCGAGTGTGACTCTCTCCCCAATTGCCTGGAGCTGTGCCCGGCTGGCCTCCACCCGCTGAGAGATCCTAGGAGGCAAGAACACTTCTTAAGATGAAGATTCCAGAACCAGTGGGGTTTTCTTAAACAGCCCCTCAGCCCCTCTCCCAGCCCCTCAGAGAAGGACGTGAATCTCAGGGGCCCGGGTGGTTTCACAGTGCAAAACAGTGCTGGTTGAGACACACTTGTATCCATCCTATTGAGAGTTTGAGGTACTCCAACATGAAGCAGGATTAGTCCATGAATCACAGCATGATGTTCCTGTGGCTGTCTGAGGCACAGAAAGATGGAAAACTGGCAACAGACACAGTGTTGGTAACACAGGGATGATTTAATTATTGTTGAGCAGAGCTTAGACAGTCAAGGCCTTTTCTGCCTCTTACCACACCACAAGGAGTTGGGAGGGGACACAGCCAGGACACCTGATCCCAACTGACCCAAAGGATGTTCCAGACCATATGGCATCATGCTCAGCACATAAACTAGGGAGAAATTTGGCTGGGGTCCACTGCTCGGGGACTGGACAGGCTCCATCAAGTTGGTGCTGAGCAATTGTTTTTATTTGCATCACTTGTTTTTCTTTTGTTTAATTTATCTTTTTTTGTTATTTTCCTTTACATTATAATATTATAATTATATTTTATTTCAATAATTTAACTGTTCTTATCTCAATGCATGAATTTTCTCACTTTTACCCTCCTAGGTCTCCTTCCCCCCACCCTGCAGGGAGTAGTGTGAGCAAGGAGTTGTGTGGTGCTTAGTTGCCAGCTGAAGATAAACCATACCACTAGATCAGCATGAGAATGCTTTGGGACTCAGGTGAAAAGCACTCAGTGGCAGCAGAGGAGAGCAATCAGTGGTTAAATACCTCTGCATTCACATTGTAGACATGTTTCTTTTTCCTTTCCCACCTGGGAGCCAGGGGCACGACTGAAACTGCCTCCATGCCATGCACAGTGGCTGCTGTGCCACTGGAACTGTCACACGGGTACAGCCAGGGGTTAGGAGGGATGCTGGGAGCAGGCATCAGCTACAGGTAACGATGGAGTCACCTTCTCAAAAAAGCCCTCCTACCTCATACATAACCAGCAGATTCTCTCTCCCCAGCTACAAGGTCAAAAGCTGAAAAGTCTTCTGAACTTTCACTCCTCCAGTGAAGCCAGGGAAGAATATTTTTATGGCTACATAACCCAATAGGAGAGAGAGCACTTCACTTCGGCAATGTTTTGTAGCAATGAGCTCCACTGGATCATTCTATGCTTGTAAAAAGCAATCTCAAGTATTGTCTTTAAATTTCACCAAGAGTGTCTTTGCTTTTGAGGAGAGAGCTCTCATGCTCTTTATCTGCTCTAATTCCCTTCAGTAATGACTGTGAGATCAGCAGTGATCTCCAATTTCAAACTGTACCAAATCCATCTTTTCCAGTATTTTCTCTTTGGGCAGCACATTCTCTATTATAGTATAGAAACATAAAGCCCCCCCTCAATGTAGGTAGTGAAAAATAGCAAGTACAAGCAGCCTATTCTTCTTGTACCATTCTGAAAAAAACCCTCACTTTCTCTAAACAGCTTCAAGTATTTCTGTTTGTTTATAGCCATGTCCTCCTCTTCCTGGAGGCATGAAAAATCCTTCCTTATGCATATGGCATGATAGCACACAGCCTGCTTCTTACCTTATTCTGTTTGGAGTGGGAGATGAGCAAAATTGAACCTCGTGAGATTCTCCCTCTCAGAATTATTCTCCATTACCCCATTTTATTTTAAACACAGACCAACAGCTTGTATTTTGTACCAACACTGAGTACAAATCTGTTCATGATTTCCTTCCCACACCCTCCCTCTGCCTCAGAAGAGTAAGTCCACATCACTTATACACTTGATAGGTTCTCAGAGTAGTTTCTGCTGTTCCTTTCAGCGTGCATTTCCTAGCACCTGTCTGCAGCAAATTTCATGTGCCAGAGGACTGTCCCACTGCCTTGTTTTGTTCAAGTGTAAGATGCCTCTGAAGGACCTAAATCTTTCCTAACTGCTCTCACCAGCAAATTTTCCCACCTCACAGTTCACCTCTTTTCTAGAAGTTTCATAATTGTATTGATTGAAACTATTTCCAGTACTGCTCCCTAGAGGTATCTGACTATTTTTACTTCCTTCAAAGCTGAAAAAACCTAGTCATTTATTTCTGCTTTGCTGCTCTCCCTCAAATCAATGCTGCAATTTTCTCTCTCACCTGAGAGTAGACCTCTCTCCTAGAAGAACTCCACAAAGTTTTCCTAAAGCTCCAAAAAAAGTGAGGTATCAATTGCCTTTTAGCCAGTACCCTGCTGACTTCTAGACACAATTTTCAGGATCTGACAAGGCACACGTTTCTCTGCTAGAAGGAAGTGCTAAGCAGTTATGCAAGCTCAGGCCTGGAAACCAGTAAGTGTTCTTTTCCCTTTCACTTCATAAATGTGAGTGGGTCCAGTGAGGCAGTCAAACACCTCCCTCACTCCCTTTCCTGTCCCACATTATCCCCAGTGCTTCACCAGACACCAACCTCTTTGCCTTCCTTCCCTCACTCAAAGAAAAAAAAAAAAAAAAAAAAGAGGGAAGACATCCATCCCCAGTGCCCACCAAATATCTTCAATGAAAGGAGACCATACCAGGCAGACAGCCTGCTCCCAGCACAAGCTGGGGAAGTTGTCCAGTGCCAGCTTAGGTGTTTCAAACCATGATGGATCTTCTCTGAGGCACTCTGTACTTTCTCCTGTGATCTCCTGCTCTAGGATTTGACAGGCCAAATCCCACTGACCTTATGAGATCTGCCAAAAACCTTCACCTGAGGTGGTACAGATACAGGCCCACAACACAGAAGGAATACGTATCAGTCCACAGAATTAATTTGTTGCTGAACAAGATAACTTTGAAAAAAGAATTAAAGCCCCTCAATCCAACTAATCCAAATTCCATCACATGTACAGGCTCCTAGAGGTGCATGACTGTTATGCACGAACAGTTCAAGATACAGCTGTATGTGCTAGTTAGAGACAATATACCATATCCTTACTGGAAAAAATTACATGGAGAAAACCTCCTCATGTTTGATCAACTATTTCTACTGCTGTGGCATCTGAACTTACTCAAAGGACTCAACCAGTTTTTGTAAAGAAAGGAAACAAGAAGGAAGGAATGGAGGGATATGGCTGAGGATTTCAGGGGCAGTGCTGGAGGAAAGGTGGCATTCAGACCTTACCCTTCATTAAAGGAAGGACAAGGACAATTAGGACAAGAGGGATTAAGTGTTAACAAAATATCCCAATACTGCCTCTCAGAAGAAATTGCTCAGGCAGGCAAAACCATCATGAGCATCTGAACCTACCCCATGCCTATTTTCTTAGTCATTGCTGGGTTAATTTGCTCTCAATGCTCTTTTCTGCTTGAGAAACACCTTTAGTTAAATTCAGTATTACTTTGGAGTTGCAAAGGAGCAGGAGGCTACAGTGACACCCCTCCCTTTCAGCAGGATGTGCTTCATTCAGGACAAGTGAAAGGTGGTGTCTGTGGAAAAAGGAGAATACATCACCTACCTTCAAATGCTGGGCACTGAGCCAAATCAACCTTCCTCTCTCAGTGCTTTTCTTTGGGGAAGCAATACACGTGGCAGATTAAATCTATCTAGAGGATTATCTCTTAATCCATACAGACTTTATTTCATCTAAGCAGATATTAAAACCAACCTTTCAGCTGCTTTGATTCAAGCTTTCACTTTCTCTTGTCCCTCTGAAATATTTTTGCCCTCAAGCTCTCTTCACTTCACCCCCAACTTAGATCTTGTTTCTCCTTTGTCCTAAAGCCCTCACCCTGCTGTGCTTAAGCCACTCTCCATTTTACAGGCAATTTTCTCCAACACCCACAGTAAGTTCCAGGAATACTTCCTCTTGAGGGCCCTCTCTTGCTGGCCCCCTATCCACTACTGTCCCATCTGCAACCACAGAACAGACCACTTGCTCTTATTCCATTATTACTCTTCTGATAAATCTCACATTCAGGTGGCTACTGAAAGACTTCCTCTGCTGTTATCTGTGTCTATTCATGGTGGAAAAATTACTGTTTCTTTACTCCCACAGGAAAAAGATTCGAAGCATTAGGAATCTGGCATGCAGGACACTGGATACTGCCCGACAGTACTGTCAGCACTGGCAATAATGCTGTATTTGTATGCACTTCACAGTGCTAATAAAAAAAAAGCGATTTTTATCATCTATATTCGCTAGGGATCAGACAGCATCAGAAAAAAAATAGTTTTAAACCAGGGAAGGTTTAAAGACAGACTGACAGATTCCAAGCAAGGTGTCTGAGAAAGGCAGGATTCAGCTGTAAGAAAGCTGAATCACAACAGCCACAGAGCCTTTGCTCTCTATGCTGAACGTCCACGTCACCCGAAAGTGACAGGGATGACAAAACTTCTGAGATGGGAGAGCAGATTGGCAAGCTACACACCAAGGTGAACGAGAAAGGTTAGGTAACAGAGGCTGGAGCAAACCTCTCTAGAATACCAAAGAACTTCATCTTCATGACTGAAGTACAAAAGTAAGCGATCAACCAAGGAGAAAGAACATTACAGAGCAGAATGAGAAATGAAGTTGCACAGGAGGACAAGGCAGACGAAGTATTAAATTACTTTTTCCTTAAATGAGGACTGTACACATAACAGCAAATCAGGCTTCTGGTCACCTCCCAGCCCAAGCTCCAAGCCTCAGAGATAGCAGGGGGATGCCTGGCATTGCTGTGTACATATAGTAAATTTATTCTATAAAACCTTGGCTTCTTGCCTAAAAGTCAAGCTGCCTTTTTTTTTTTCTTCTTTTTTTTTGGCTAAATGACATGTATTTTTATTAAATTTCTCCCTTACTGCAGGAGGCATGAATAAGAAGGGACTGAGTTTATGGTTGTCGTATTTAATTTTATTCTCAGACTCTCCAAGCAGCTGGTACTGGAGCAGGATAACAAGGGAAGAAAACAGTGTCAAAAATGAATGCTATGAGAAGCCC